GAGGTGAGGAGGCTGCTGAACAGATGGCAAGATGAGTGCCGGTGATGAGTTTGCGCAAAGAAGGAAAAGCGCCGCAGCAGATCCCTGTTAACATTCTTTGGCCCGGATTCACCCAAAAAGGAATCAATGATGTATTGGATGGCTGTTGGGCACCGCAGTGTTCACTCTGGTCAACGTCAGTACCCGCCAAGCTGCAAATACCCCCCTGCGCCAGAAACAACGGTCACCGCACGGGCAGCTCTGCCGGCTTGGACCTGACACGACGCAGGCGATGATATTACAGGTTTGGTCGTTGGCCTAGTGTACAGGGAGAGGAAGCAGCGACAGTGAGGCGGGCCAACACCGCTGCTTCCCCTAAAAGAAGATCCTACAGTTCTGGCAGGCGTCTCGCAGCACAGCCGCCGCGTCATCCCCAGCGCAGAGGCGGCTGGAGGTTGGCGAGCAAACCATGCTGTGTGTCGAGTCGCGATCGGCCTCATTGGCCAGTGAGACAAGGCTTCAGGCATGGGCGCGCAAGTCGCGGCGCATCACAGCTGGCGGGTGGACGAGAGGTGCTTCCCCGCCTGAAAACACCGCGCCGTCTGTTCAATGTGACATTTGCGGGGTCCGGGCGGGCGCTGAAAAGTGGACGTGCGAGCCTCGCGGACTTGTTGTGAAAAACAGGCACACACACAATCCAGACGCGCAGCACCCGGCCGGCGCGTGCGGGTCGCAACATACAAAACAGGCAGTTGGCAAGCACTCGGAAAGCGTGTGCCCCGCAGAGATGCACGCATGCGGCGTGCTTGCAGCCTGATCAACAGGGGCGCGCAGCACGCACGGCTCTGCGCGCCCGTCACAAAAGCCGGGGCCAGAGAGGTCGCACATGGCAAGGCAGTAGCAGCAAGAAATTGCACACGAGCAGACCCGTGTGCGTTCACCTTGGGTCCGCGTCAACTGCTTTGATATTGAGCAACTGCGAAGGAAAGAAACAGCGACCTGCAGACGGCGCTGATGCGCCCACAGATGGTCCAAACCGCACGGAAGCCACGCTAGCAGATGCGCAAAGCGACGCCAGGTGGCGTACTGTCGCCACGTTGTGGGTGGCCTGTTTGCTCAACAGGCTGACACGAAGCTAGCCACGTGGTGGCCGCGCCGCGAGCGGGCAGGGCTTGTCCCGCGGTGGGCAAGCGGCAGTGCGGGCGCTCAAACCGGTGGCGGAAATAGCTTGTGCCCCAATTCATAAGCCGGCCCTCCGGGCGTCTCCGCCCGTCCCCGCGAACCTCGCCCCCAACAGGCGTGCGTGCATGTAGAGTCGTGTGCGGCGTGGGCTCTGGCTTGGCGACCGCTAAGATGCGGGCCGTTGACGCCCAACCCTGCCTTCCCTCCTCCCCTCTTCCCGCTCAAGCTCCCTCCCCTCCCCTGCCCTCCCCTCAGGACCAGCCCGCCCTCACAGTGGCAAGCCTCGACACCACTCTTGCCCAGGGTCGCATCCCAGGCTCCCGCACGTTTGGGCTCCCCCTTCAAGCTGCCGCCATGCCAGACGCAGGCGAGGCCGCCGCCGGCGCGGCGGCGGCGGCGGCTGCGGCGGCGGCCGAGCTGCGCCTGGGCTTGTACGGCTCCAGCCAAGCGGCCCACTTCTCTGGGGGGTTGTCAATGTCAGTCTGAGTGCCAGGGTGTTGAATGCAGGGGCAGAGGTATAAGGGTCAAGCCACGTCAAACGGACGAACCCCGCCGGCCAGGCCAGCTGGGTCTCGTCGCCCGCGAGCGCTTGCTGCGCCCCGCGCCAATGCCGCCGCACCGGTGAAACGGCCCGCGCTCAGGGAGCGCGGCGGGCCCACAGCTGCGCCAAGCAACGCCGTCTTCCCCGGTTCCTCCGCTGCCCCTCCCCTCGACTGTTTCCCTCTCATCCTGGCGCTATGCCTCAACCGCCGTCCCGGTCGCATCAACCCCCATTCATTACGGCGTCATTCACACCGCCACCGCCACCCCGGATGGGCAGTGGCATATCCCCCCTCCATCACAGACTTAGTTCGGTCAGGCCACGCCCTGTGCCTAGGTTTGGCCACGCCTCGCTCAGGGCTTGGCCCCCAAACCCACCTGGCTGACCCCCAACACGACCCCCAGGTCGCGCGACGTCGGCTCCCGCGGCGTAGTCTTGAGCCGCCACCCAAGGTCCCGCAGCAGCGAGCCGCCCTTGCGCTGGTTGCAGTGCATGCAGCACGCCACCAGGTTGTCCCACGTGTTGCGGCCGCCCTGGTGGTAGTGATGTTGCCGCACGCGTGCAGGTGGGCAAGCCACCAGCGCGGACAAGGAAATGCAGAAGAGCAGTCTGTGCAACAGCAGCATTTGTCAAGGCCAACAGCGAAAGACTGACAACAACCAAAGGCCCCACAGCTGGGTGACGAGTGCCACGCATGGGAATCGCACGCGCCAGCGCCTTTGGCCGGGGACCGCCCGCTCGACCCCTCGTCGCGACGCGCAACGTGCGCACAAGGGCCCGTCGCCCGCCTCAAGCCGGGGCGGCGCATGCCGCGTTCCCTGGTACCGGTATGCGCGCACACGCGTGCACGCGCGGGCGCCTCACCCTGCACACAGGCAGCACGTGGTCCAGCGTCAGGTTCTGGCGGCTGCCACAGTACCTTTTGAGGGGTGGGTGATGATGGGATGACGTCAGCGCGGCCATAAAATCGGAGGGCAGGCATGCCCCCAAGCATGTGTCCTCGACCGCTGCGCCGCGTTGGGCCCGTGAAGCTGCATCGAAGCGTTGGATGACGGCATGACCGCCTGACTGCCCGCGCAGCACAGGACGGCGCGGCGGCTGTTGTGCCAAGCCGCCGGCTGCGTTTGCCAGCCGGCGTCAAAAGGCGTGCAGTCAGGTGCCAGGGCTGCGGCTCACTGGCAGGTATTCTTGTCGCGTGAGAGGACGTTGCGGCGCGTCAGCGCGACGCGTCCCGCCAGCTCGTGCATGTTGACGCTCGCGCGCGCGCGCAGCACCGCGGGCAGCTGGTGCGACTGGTAGGCGCTGTACGCGTACACATTCTCGTAGTAATCCAGGATGTCAACCTGGGGCCCCAACGACGTCACAGCGGGAACATGTGAGGCAGTCAAAGTGGCAAGGATATGCCACGCGGCCCTGACAGCCCACTGAACGCCATTCCTATGAAACCCCTCCTCGTGCGGCCATCGTGCCTGGCCAGAAACCGTGCTGCAAGGAAGGCTCACGCAAACCCGCACCAAACAACAGACCAAACCTCATGGGCTTTGCATGAGCAGCCACTGTCCCTCCGCTTTGCAACGTTTGCAGGGCTTGTCCTGCAACGCAGCTCGGGCAGTGCTGTGGGGCCGCACCTTACCCCCGACGTCCATCATGACAGCCCTAAACCATGATATGGTGTTGATGGGCCTGAGGGTTTAGGAGGTTGCGAGAAGTGAGGGTGGGGCGCACGAGTGCGGAAGCAAGCAGGCGGGCGCGGCAGCAGGGCACACGCAGGGGACTGGGCGACTGCAGCTGCAACTCGGCAGGCGATAGTGCTCTCTAGGCTCTGAGGCTGGTACCCAAGCAGGCGGTGTCCACGGCTGCCCGGGCGTCGCTGTCGCTGCAGCGGCAAGGCGCGGAAGGCCTCGAGGAAGCCGCAGAGTGGGAAGGGGGCGCGGGCTCACCGGTAAGCCGCGTCCAGCACGAGGCAGCGGTGGTGGTTCTGGCTGCTGCGCACGGAGCCCTCCCCAGACACGCCCGCGAGACCGGCCGCCCCCAGGACGCCTGCGCGCGCCCACGTATGAGCAGCCGCGGTGCAGTTTCGAGGCCCTTCAGACGGCAGCGTGCGGGCTCGACCCCTTGTTGCGGCTCCGAAATCCGCAGCTATGTGACCACTCGCGGCGCCACCAGCGACACCATGTACAGCCACGCATGACTGCGCATGCGCGCCCTGCGCCTTGCCGACCCGTCCGCTTCGCAGCGCTGAGTCGGGGAGTGAATTCCTTCTCGCACCTGCAGGCACGATTGGGCCGCTCCGCGACGCGCAGTCGAGCTCCTCATCGCTGTCCGCCACTGCCACGTCGATCTCCCCGCTCCCAAGCGCGCCGCCGCCAAACGCGGCCCCCAGGTCTCCAGCCGTCCCTGGCGACACGAGCACTGTCGCCAAATCCGCATCTGCGGTCGTCACCGCCACCACTGCCACTGTCCTGCTTGTCGCCGCCGCGCCGGGCGTCGAGGCGCCGCCGCCGGCCGCTTTCTTGGGCGCGTGCTGTTGGTGGTGCTTGCCTTTGGCCGCGAGCACGGCCGGCTGCATGCGCGCGCGGGGCGCGGGCCGCAGGGCTCGCGCCGGCGCCGCGGATGCCGGACGGCTGCGGGGCAGCGACGGGCGGCACACAGGGAAGGTTGAACGCTCAGAGTTATGTTTTGACTGGGGACCGCGGGTGCGCGGACGCAATACACAAACGCGCTGACGTGCCCCGCCGGCGAGCTTGCAGGCAAGGGCAGCTTACCGTGACAGCCGCAGCAGCTGCCGCTGGCTGCTGACGCTCGTCGACGATGCTGACGCAGCCGATGCGCGCATGTGCGCACCGCAGCTCCTTCCGCTTAGCTCCATTTCACACAGCCTACTGTGGCAAGTCACTGCGCCCGCTGTTGTTGTGTCGAGTCGAGCCCGCACAGGAAGCACCTAAGCAGAGAGGAAAGTGCATGGAATTTCAGAGACACTGTGTTTTCCTTGATCCAGGGCACGCAGGCAGCATCCGCAGTGCGCAGGGCGTCGCCGCGCCAGCAACGCCTGAAAGCGGCGTGTCTACGCGCTGCGCCTCAGAGCGCGGCTGCTTGCCTCGAGAAGCGATGCGTTTCCGCAAAGCGCAAGACGCGCAGCGCGAGGGGCCTGGGGTGCTGCTGACGCCAAATGAGAGATCTGCACAGAGCGCGGGACCCCACCGTCGTTCAGCACTGCCGCGCCATACATGACCTCCATACCAACAGTGCGCGTGACAGCTACTCGACGCGGTGCCCAGCCCCCGCCCGGGGCTCACCGATCACCAGCGCAACACCACGTTGCAGGTTTGAAGATCAAGCCCTTTCGAAGACCCGATAGCACGTATGTAAAGTTTACGCCCGTGCAGATCGTGTTATTTGGCGGGGCCGACGCAGTGAGGGGGCAGCTACCTTTCCTGCACGGTTGCAAGTGTGTATAGGTCTCAAGTTTGGGGATTAAAAGTTTCCGAGAGCAGGGACAGGCGCGCAACCGGCTCGCGTTGACTGGCATATGCTATGCCTGTGATCACTGAGCAGGATCTACGGTTGTTGCGAAAGTGCCGGGTGAAAGTGCCTGGGGAAGTGCCGTGCGTTGGGTTCAGGTTCTACAAAAGAATCTCACCTAGGAGCTCAACGCAGAGCGCGGACAACGTGCTGCGTGATGAGTTTTCAACAAGGTTTCGACAGAAGATCTTGCTCTCACTAGTGTTGTACCCGCCGCGTTGCTGGCGGAGTTGCATAAGAACTGCCAAGGTTTCTTATAACTGAAATACACTTGTTGGTTTCGTCATAAGGTGTCATTGCGGCACATCATATCACACTGGGTTGCCAGCGTACCCCCCCCCCCCCC